CCAATATACAGTACAAGAAATGGGGATCGGGAGGATCACTTAACTATAGACCAGTATCATTGACAAGCATTTCCTGTAAAGTATTTGAAAGAATAATAAGAATAAGAATAGTTACGGGGTCGTAACTTTAATGTCGAGAGGATTAGGAAAATACCAACATGATGACCAGACCACACACACTAGACGGTGAAGGGGACGACCCTTCACCTTCTATTGTGTGGTCTGGTCAACTTACTTTAGCCACGTTATTGTCACTCATCTCCTGAATACCAACATGATTTTAGGGAAGAGAAATAATGTCAATTGAACCTACTCGAGCTCAGTGTTAAACTTGGCGACAATAAAATAGGACAGAAAATTGGACAGATTACATATTTCTGAACTAACAAAAAACCTTTGACACACAGTCTAAGGTCCGAGTAGTAGTCAGTCAATTGTTTAGTAGTCACAGACTTCTATGCAATCTATGTACTCACCTGTACTAGGTGAGTACAAGGGTGAAAGGCAGGCGGGGATAATCGGAAGACCACAGGCTTGAGTAAGAGGATACCTACCACACAGGAGTCAGTCACACCAAGGGGCGAGAAGTCGGACTGGCGTCAAGTGTGAAGTACCGCAGGGAGAGGTGTTGGGATCCGTACTATTTCTCATTTTAGTAGTCTAATTACAGGAGTAGAGTCATATATGTCGATGTTTGCATCGACAAAGTAGATAAAGCAGATTTCTTCAAAGCTAGGAACAGCAGAGTTGAGGAATCATAGATGGAAACTAGACACAAATGAGTCTGAGATACCAGGAAGAACTTTCTCGGTGTCAGAGCTATCAATAAGTGGAACAGGGTTGACGTAGAAATCGTTGAAGCTAATTTGATTCAAAATTGTAAAGGCAAATAAGCTAAAAGCGTGAGAAATGAATCATTGATTTAACCTAAGAACGTTGGTAAATTGTTGCTAGGAGCCTAACTGGACCCTGCAAGCATCGAGAATACACCTAGGTGAGCAACACACGCCCACGCATACACTTTATTAAGGAGGCCCTTCAGCTCACTATATACCACCTATGTAAGACCAGTCATAGAGTATGTCGTCCCATAGTGGAGCCCATATCTAAGAATAAAAAAATATATATAAGAAAGTTCAAAAAGGTGCAGACGTTTGCAACGAGACTCGTCCCAGAGCTTCGAGGGATGAGGCACGAAGAGAGACTGCAGGAACTAAACCTGACGACGTTAGAAAGGAAGAGAGAGAGGGGGGACATCCTAGACATATAAAATACTTAAGTGGGATTGACATTGGAACCAGAGGAAATATTAACACTAAACACCAATAGAACAAGGCGACACACATGGAAGCTTGAGACTCGGATGTGTCATAGAGATGTTAGCAAGTTCTCTTTTAGCATAAAGGTAATGAGTAAATGGAATGACCTAAAGGAGCAGGCAGGTTGTAGAGGCAACCCCAATCCACAACTTTAAAAGTAGCTATGATAGGGAAATAGGTCAGGAATAATTGCATTAGATAGCCAGCTGGGTCCAAAAGCTAGAACTCGATCCTTTAGACACAAATAGTTGAGTTCAAATGGGTGAGTATACACGCACAGACCTCGGGCACTGGACGGGTACAGTGACAGATGTCACCGTGCTTGTGGCCGAGCCCAAGACCAGGGGCACTGGTCGGGTACAGTGACAGATGTCACCGTGCTTGTGGCCGAGCCCAGGACCAGGGGCACTGGTCGGGTACAGTGACAGATGTCACCGTGCTTGTGGCCAAGCCCAGGACCAGGGGCACTGGACGGGTACAGTGACAGATGTCACCGTGCTTGTGGCCAAGCCCAGGACCAGGGGCACTGGTCGGGTACAGTGACAGATGTCACCGTGCTTGTGGCCAAGCCCAGGACCAGGGGCACTGGTCGGGTACTGCGTCACAGATGTCACCGTGCTTGTGGCCGAGCCCAGGACCAGGGCACTGGTCGGGTACAGCGTCACAGATGTCACCGTGCGTGTGGCCGAGCCCAAGACCAGGGGCATTGGTCGGGTACAGCGTCACAGATGTCACCGTGCTTGTGGCCGAGCCCAAGACCAGGGGCATTGGTCGGGTACAGCGTCACAGATGTCACCGTGCTTGTGGCCGAGCCCAAGACCAGGGGCACTGGTCGGGGACAGCGTCACAGATGTCACTGTGCTTGTGGCCGAGCCCAAGACCAGGGGCATTGGTCGGGTACAGCGTCACAGATGTCACCGTGCTTGTGGCCGAGCCCAAGACCAGGGGCACTGGTCGGGTACAGCGTCACAGATGTCACTGTGCTTGTGGCCGAGCCCAAGACCAGGGGCATTGGTCGGGTACAGCGTCACAGATGTCACCGTGCTTGTGGCCGAGCCCAAGACCAGGGGCACTGGTCGGGTACAGCGTCACAGATGTCACTGAGCTTGTGGCCGAGCCCAAGACCAGGGGCATTGGTCGGGTACAGCGTCACAGATGTCACCGTGCTTGTGGCCGAGCCCAAGACCAGGGGCACTGGTCGGGTACAGCGTCACAGATGTCACTGTGCTTGTGGCCGAGCCCAAGACCAGGGGCACTGGTCGGGTACAGCGTCACAGATGTCACCGTGCTTGTGGCCGAGTGTGCAGCGCTGCCAACTAACCTGACAACTCGCCTTTAACACAACCCTAACACGCTTTGGAGAGAATTGCCAATTGACGCGGCTTAACACTGTAGTGTTTGTTTCTTAGTTACATGAGTGGTTTGTTACTAATTATATTTATTAATATCTTCCATTCCACGTGGAGCAATGTGGACCAAATGTTGGGTAGTGACGGGCCGTGACTGTGTCAGCCAGGGTGACGGGCCGTGACTGTGCCAGCCAGGGTGACGGGCCGTGACTGTGCCAGCCAGGGTGACGGGCCGTGACTGTGCCAGCCAGGGTGACGGGCCGTGACTGTGCCAGCCAGGGTGACGGGCCGTGACTGTACCAGCCAGGGTGAACAGCCCGTGACAGTGCATGCCAACTAGAGTGACGGGCCGTGACTGTGCCAGCCAGGGTGACGGGCCGTGACTGTGCCAGCCAGGGTGACGGGCCGTGACTGTGCCATCCAGGGTGACGGGCCGTGACTGTGCCAGCCAGGGTGACGGGCCGTGACTGTGCCAGCCAGGGTGACGGACCGTGACTGTGCCAGCTAGGGTGACGGGCCGTGACTGTGCCAGCTAGAGTGACGGGCCGTGACTGTGCCAGCTAGGGTGACGGGCCGTGACTGTGCCAGCCAGGGTGACGGGCCGTGACTGTGCCAGCTAGGGTGACGGGCCGTGACTGTCCCATCTAGGGGTGACGGCCCGTGACTGTGCCAGCCAGGGTGACGGGCCGTGACTGTGCCAGCCAGGGTGACGGGCCGTGACTGTGCCAGCCAGGGTGACGGGCCGTGACTGTCCCATCTAGGGGTGACGGCCCGTGACTGTGCCAGCCAGGGTGACGGCCCGTGACTGTGCCAGCCAGGGTGACGGGCCGTGACTGTGCCAGCCAGGGTGACGGGCCGTGACTGTCCCAGCCAGGGTGACGGGCCGTGACTGTGCCAGCCAGGGTAATGGGCCGTGACTGTCCCAGCCAGGGTGACGGCCAGTGAATGTCCCAGCCAGGGTGACGGGCCGTGACTGTCCCAACCAGGGTGACGGGCCGTGACAGTGCCAGCCAGGGTGACGGACCATGACTGTCCCAGCCAGGGTGACGAGCCGTGACTGTCCCAGCTAGGGTGACGGACCGTGACTGTGCCAGCCAGGGTGACGGGCCGTGACTGTCCCAGCCAGGGTGACGAGCCGTGACTGTCCCAGCTAGGGTGACGGACCGTGACTGTCCCAACCAGGGTGGCGGACCGTTATTGTCCCAGCCAGGTTGACGGACCGTGACTGTGCCAGCCAGGGTGACGGACCGTGACTGTGCCAGCCAGGGTGACGGACCGTGACTGTGCCAGCCAGGGTGACGGACCGTGACTGTGCCAGCCAGGGTGACGGACCGTGACTGTGCCAGCCAGGTTGACGGACCGTGACTGTGCCAGCCAGGTTGACGGACCGTGACTGTCCCAGCCAGGTTGACGGACCGTGACTGTGCCAGCCAGGTTGACGGACCGTGACTGTCCCAGCCAGGGTGACGGACCGTGACTGTGCCAGCCAGGTTGACGGACCGTGACTGTCCCAGCCAGGTTGACGGACCGTGACTGTGCCAGCCAGGGTGACGGACCGTGACTGTGCATGCCAGGGTGACGGGCCGTGACTGTCCCAGCCAGGGTGACGGACCGTGACTGTGCCAGCCAGGGTGACGGACCGTGACTGTGCATGCCAGGGTGACGGGCCGTGACTGTGCCAGTCAGGGTGACGGGCCGTGACTGTGCCAACTAGGGTGACGGACCGTGACTGTGCCAGCCAGGGTGACGGACCGTGACTGTCCCAGCCAGGGTGACGGTCCGTGACTGTGCCAACCAGGGTGACGGACCGTGACTGTGCATGCCAGGGTGACGGGCCGTGACTGTGCCAGCCAGGGTGACGGTCCGTGACTACCTAGAGGTCCACCTACACAGTATTTAGTAATAGTGATAATGCTAGCAGGCTACTGTGAGAGACGACTGCTCTTGGTGCGTGTACACAGTACTCAAAACCCATCCACTCACCATCCTATAGTCGAGTTAGTGTTTATCCACAGCAGTCAAGACATATTTAGACTAGTCATATAACCTAGTGATGAATAATAGTTAGCATGATAAAAAGTAGCCATTGTATAAACATGTATTCTTTATCTTCCAAAATATAAGTTATACCCTTTAAAAAAATCCGAGCTTTGGCCACAAGCGCTGTCCCCAACGATATAGCGTGTATATATGTATATATATCAGCTATATACGACAGTGAACAATAGTGTGGCTATATATATATGATATATACAGCTATATCGTAGAAACGGGAGATGTGAGTGGGATTGCTTGCCTGCCAAGGTGTACTACAGTGCTTGTGTAATGGTAGGGCGGACCTCTCCGTGGAGGGCGGGCCAACAGAAGAACCGAAGGGCAAGCCTTCGTCACCCTCCAGCAAGCTAGGGTGAGTCTGTCACACTGTTGGCACTCTACCACTTGCTAGTGTGGCATTCTTAGTGTGTGTGTGTGTGTGTGTGTACGGTTTTATCCAAGACAGCATGGGGGTTTGTGTGGGGTTGTTCGTCGACTCTGTGTGTGTGTGTGTGTGTGTGTGTGTGTGTGTGTGTGTGTGTGTGTGTGTGTGTGTGTGTGTGTGTGTGTGTGTGTGTGTGTGTAATTACCCAAGTATAGTTCCAGTTATGTTCAAAGTGTCCCGTCTTCCCAGTATATTTTTATCATAAGAGGTCTTCACGTAACTTGTTCAAATCGTCACCCACTCTGTTTGCAAAAGAGAACTTTCTAATATAGTTTTGGCATCTTTGTGGTGGGTGTTGTGTGGTGGGTGTTGTGTGGTGGGTGTTGTGTGGTGGGTGTTGTGTGGTGGGTGTTGTGTGGTGGGTGTTGTGTGGTGGGTGTTGTGTGGTGGTTGTTGTGTGGTGGTTGTTGTGTGGTGGGTGTTGTGTGGTGGGTGTTGTGTGGTGGGTGTTGTGTGGTGGGTGTTGTGTGGTGGGTGTTGTGTTGTGTGGTGTGGTGGGTGTTGTGTGGTGGGTGTGGTGTGGTGGGTGTTGTGTGGTGGTTGGTGGGTGTTGTGTGGTGGGTGTTGTGTGGTGGGTGTTGTGTGGTGGGTGCTGTATGGTGGGTGTTGTGTGGTGGGTGTTGTGTGGTGGGTGTTGTGTGGTGGGTGTTGAGTGGTGGGTGTTGTGTGGTGGGTGTTGTGTGGTGGTGTGTTGTGTGGTGGTTGTTGTGTGGTGGGTGTTGTGTGGTGGGTGTTGTGTGGTGGTTGTTGTGTGGTGGTTGTTGTGTGGTGGTTGTTGTGTTGTGTGGTGGTTGTTGTGTGGTGGGTGCTGTGTGGTGGGTGTTGTGTTGTGTGGTGGGTGTTGTGTGGTGGATGTTGTGTTGTGTGGTGGGTGTTGTGTGGTGGGTGTTGAGTGGTGGGTGTTGTGTGGTGGGTGTTGTGTGGTGGGTGTTGTGTGGTGGGTGTTGTGTGGTGGTGTTGTGTGGTGGTTGTTGTGTGGTGGGTGTTGAGTGGTGGTATTGTGTGGTGGGTGTTGTGTGGTGGGTGTTGAGTGGTGGTGATGTGTGGTGGGTGGTGTGTGGTGGTTGTTGTGTGGTGGTTGTTGTGTGGTGGGTGTTGTGTGGTGGGTGTTGTGTGGTGGGTGTTGTGTGGTGGGTGTTGTGTGGTGGTTGTTGTGTGGTGGGTGTTGTGTGATGGTTGTTGTGTGGTGGGTGTTGTGTGGTGGGTGTTGTGTGGTGGGTGTTGTGTGGTGGGTGTTGTGTGGTGGGTGTTGTGTGGTGGGTGTTGTGTGGTGGGTGTTGTGTGGTGGGTGTTGTGTGGTGGGTGTTGTGGTGGGGGGTGTTGTGTGGTGGGTGTTGTGTGGTGGGTGTTGTGTGGTGGGTGTTGTGTGGTGGGTGTTGTGTGGTGGGTGTTGTGTGGTGGGTGTTGTGTGTGGTGGTGTGGTGGGTGTTGTGGTGGGTGTTGTGTGGTGGGTGTTGTGTGGTGGTGTTGTGTGGTGGGTGTTGTGTGGTGGGTGTTGTGTGGTGGGTGTTGTGTGGTGGGTGTTGTGTGGTGGGTGTTGTGTGGTGGGTGTTGTGTGGTGGGTGTTGTGTGGTGGGTGTTGTGTGGTGGGTGTTGTGTGGTGGGTGTTGTGTGGTGGGTGTTGTGTGGTGGTGATGTGTGGTGGGTGTTGTGTGGTGGGTGTTGTGTGGTGGGTGTTGTGTGGTGGGTGTTGTGTGGTGGGTGGTGTGTGTTGGTGTGGTGTTGTGTGGTGGGTGTTGTGGTGGGTGTGTGTGTGGTGGGTGTTGTGTGGTGGGTGTTGTGTGGTGGTTGTTGTGTGGTGGGTGTTGTGTGGTGGGTGTTGTGTGGTGTTGTGTTGTGTGTGGGTGTTGTGTGGTGGGTGTTGTGTGGTGGGTGGTGTGTGGTGGTGTGTTGTGTGGTGGGTGTTGTGTGGTGGTGGTGTGTGTGTGGTGGGTGTGTGTGTGTTGTGTGGTGGGTGTTGTGTGGTGGGTGTTGTGTGGTGGGTGTGTGTGTGGTGGGTGTTGTGTGGTGGGTGTTGGTGGTGGGTGTGTGTGTGTGGTGGGTGTGTGTGTGTGGTGGGTGTTGTGTGGTGGGCGTTGTGTGGTGGGTGTTGTGTGGTGGTGTGTGGTGGGTGTGTGTGGTGGGTGTTGTGTGGTGGGTGTTGTGTGGTGGGTGTTGTGGGTGTGTGTGTGGTGTGTGGTGGTGGGTGTGTGTGGTGGGTGTTGTGTTGTGTTGTGGGTGTTGTGTGGTGGGTGTTGTGTGGTGGTGTTGTGTGGTGGTTGTTGTGTGGTGGTTGTTGTGTGGTGGGTGTTGTGTGGTGGGTGTTGTGTGGTGGGTGTTGAGTGGTGGTATTGTGTGGTGGGTGTTGTGTGGTGGGTGTTGTGTGGTGGGTGTTGAGTGGTGGTATTGTGTGGTGGGTGTTGTGTGGTGGGTGTTGAGTGGTGGTGATGTGTGGTGGGTGGTGTGTGGTGGTTGTTGTGTGGTGGTTGTTGTGTGGTGGGTGTTGTGTGGTGGGTGTTGTGTTGTGGGTGTTGTGTGGTGGGTGTTGTGTGGTGGTTGTTGTGTGGTGGGTGTTGTGTGGTGGATGTTGAGTGGTGGTTGTTGTGTGGTGGTTGTTGTGTGGTGGGTGTTGTGTGGTGGGTGTTGTGTGGTGGGTGTTGTGTGGTTGGTGTTGTGTGGTGGGTGTTGTGTGGTGGGTGTTGAGTGGTGGTATTGTGTGGTGGGTGTTGAGTGGTGGTGTTGTGTGGTGGGTGTTGTGTGGTGGGTGTTGAGTGGTGGTTGTTGTGTGGTGGGTGTTGTGTGGTGGGTGTTGTGTGGTGGGTGTTGTGTGGTTGGTGTTGTGTGGTGGTTGTTGTGTGGTGGGTGTTGTGTGGTGGGTGTTGTGTGGTGGGTGTTGTGTGGCGGGTGGTAGGTGTTGTGTTGTGTATTGGTTGTTGTGTGGTGGGTGGTGGGTGTTGTGTGGTGGGTGGTGGGTGTTGTGTGGTGGGTGTTGTGTGGTGGGTGTTGTGTGGTGGTGTTGTGTGGTGGTGTTGTGTGGCGGGTGGTAGGTGTTGTGTTGTGTATTGGTTGTTGTGTGGTGGGTGGTGGGTGTTGTGTGGTGGGTGTGTGGGTGTTGTGTGGTGGGTGTTGTGTGTTGGTGTTGTGTGGTAGTTGTTGTGTGGTGGTGTTGTGTGGGTGGGTGTTGTGTGGTGGGTGTTGTGTGGTGGGTGTTGTGTGGTGGGTGGTGTGTGTGTGGTGGGTGTTGTGTGGTGGGTGTTGTGTGGTGGGTGTTGTGTGGTGGTGGTGTGTGATGGTTGTTGTGTGGTGGGTGTTGTGTGTTGTGGTGGTTGTTGTGTGGTGGGTGTTGTGATAGTTGTTGTGTGGTGGGTGTTGTGTGGTGGGTGTTGTGTGGTGGGTGTGTGTGTGGTGGGTGTTGTGTGGTGGTTGTTGTGTGGTGGGTGTTGTGTGGTGGGTGTTGTGTGGTGGGTGTTGTGATAGTTGTTGTGTGGTGGGTGTTGTGTGGTGGGTGTTGTGTGGTGGGTGTTGTGTGGTGGTGTTGTGTGGTGGGTGTTGTGATAGTTGTTGTGTGGTGGTTGTTGTGTGGTGGGTGTTGTGTGGTGGGTGTTGTGTGGTAGTTGTTGTGTGTTGGGTGTTGTGTGTTGGGTGTTGAGTGGTGGGTGTTGTGTGGTGGGTGTTGTGTGGTGGTTGTTGTGTGGTAGTTGTTGTGTGGTGAGTGTTGTGTGGTGGTTGTTGTGTGGTGGGTGTTGTGTGGTGGGTGTTGTGTGGTGGTTGTTGTGTGGTAGTTGTTGTGTGGTGAGTGTTGTGTGGTAGTTGTTGTGTGGTGGGTGTTGTGTGGTGGGTGTTGTGTGGTGGTTGTTGTGTGGTGGTGTTGGGTGTTGAGTGGTGGGTATTGTGTGATGGGTGCTGTGTGGTGGGTGTTGTGTGGTGGGTGTTGTGTGGTGGGTGTTGTGTGGTGGGTGTTGTGTGGTGGGTGTTGAGTGGTGGGTGTTGTGTGGTGGGTGTTGTGTGGTGTTGTGTGGTGTGTGTGTGGGGGTGTTGTGTGGTGGGTGTTGTGTGTGTGGTGGTGTGTGTGGTGGTATTGTGTGGTGGGTGTTGTGTGGTGGGTGTTGAGTGGTGGTGTTGTGTGGTGGGTGTTGTGTGGTGGGTGTTGTGTGGTGGTTGTTGTGTGGTGGGTGTTGTGTGGTGGGTGTTGTGTGGTGGTATTGTGTGGTGGGTGTTGTGTGGTGGGTGTTGAGTGGTGGTATTGTGTGGTGGGTGTTGTGTGGTGGGTATTGAGTGGTGGTTGTTGTGTGGTGGGTGTTGTGTGGTGGGTGTTGAGTGGTGGTATTGTGTGGTGGGTGTTGTGTGGTGGGTGTTGAGTGGTGGTTGTTGTGTGGTGGGTGTTGTGTGGTGGGTGTTGTGTGGTGGGTGCTGTGTGGTGGGTGTTGTGTGGTGGGTGCTGTGTGGTGGGTGTTGTGTGGTGGGTGTTGTTGTTGTGTGGTGTGTGGTGGGTGGTGTGTGGTGGGTGCTGTGTGGTGGGTGTTGTGTGGTGGGTGGTGTGTGGTGGGTGTTGTGTGGTGGGTGCTGTAATAGTTGTGTTATGTGGTGTGCTGTGATTTGTTAATTGCTGTGTGATGATGGTCTATAATGTCCTGAAAGTGTGGTGTGTAATTACCTAAGTGTAGTTACAGGATGAGAGCTACGCTCGTGGTGTCCCGTCTTCCCAGTACTCTTTGTCATATAACGCTTTGAAACTACTGACGGTTTTGACCTCCTCACCTAACTTGTTCCAACCGTCCACCACTCTGCAAAAGTAAACTTTTTCGCCCCTATATTTCCTTAGCTGTAATATATAACCTCGTGTTCTTGAAGGTGCCAGTTTCAGGCATTTCTGTCAGTTTGGTCGAGTCCCATTATTATTTTGTAAGTGGTGATCATAACACCTACTTTTCTTACGTCATCTAGCTTTGACATATTAAACCCCTCTAGCATATCTTCATAACTCTTGCTTTTCAGTTCTGGAAGCCATTTTGCAGCATGCCTTTGTACCTTTTGCAGTTGTGTGTGTGTGTGTGTGTACTCACCAAATTGTGCTTGCGGGGGTTAAGCTCTGGCTCTTTGGTCCCGCCTCTCAACCGTCAATCAACTGGCGTACTGATTCCTGAGTCGATTCCTGCATGTGTGTGTGTGTGTGTGCTCACCTATTTGTAACCATCTATTTGTGCCTATAGGATGGCGCTCTAGCTCTTGGAGCCCGCTTTTCTAGCCGTTGGTTGTGTGTGTTTCCTCACATTGGTGTATTTTAAAATGTGCGCGTTGGAACACCGTCTGAGAACCGCTGTGGCTCCCTGTGTTCTGTTGCGGACGAGGCAGTCGGTGTTATTGGGTTAATATGATCATTAAACAAATCCACAAGGGCCGTGACGAGGATTCGAACCCACGTCTGTGAGCATCCCAGACGCTGCCTTAATCGACTGAGCTACGATGATCATTAATGATGATAATCATTAGCCTGAATGGGGTTTAATGCCTAAAGCGGCATTGTTATGTTTTCATCTTGAAGGACGAAGCGTTGACAGTGGCGGCTGTCAAACTTGGTCGTCCACGGTGTGGTTGACAGTGGCGGCTGTCAAACTTGGTCGTCCACGGTGTGGTTGACAGCTTTATGGTGAGTGCCCAAATGTTGCGGCAGAGAGGCGAGATGTGCGGAGGCTGGCAGGTTCAGGTGTGTAGTACAGCTGGCAGGTGTGCAGTACCTGTAGCCACAGGAGTTTCTTCTGGGGCGCCGCTCTGCGTAAAGTGTGTTGTGTTGCCCTGGAGAGAGTCCTAGTCTCTTATGTAGGCTCCCCAGGCTGCCTCGTCTCTCTCTCTCTCTCTCTCTCTCTCTCTCTCTCTCTCTCTCTCTCTCTCTCTCTCTCTCTCTTCTCTTTCTCTTTATCTTTATCTCTCTCTTTGTCTCCTCTTCATCTGAGCAGGTGTGCATGTGTGTGTGTCCTGTATACATATACACATGATGGACACATGTTGCTGGTGTGAAAATGTTTTCTCCTCTTTAAATAACCAGGGGCCAGATTAACGAAGTAGTTACGCAAGTACTTACGAACGTGTTCATCTTTCTTCAATCTTTTGACAGCTGTGGTTGCATTTATTAAACAGTTTACAATCATGAAAACTTGCCAATCAACTGTTGATATTGTTATAAACAGCCTCCTGGTGCTTCGGAGCTCATTAACTGTTTAATAGTTGTAAACAAAGCCGCCAAAGATTGAGAAAAGATGGACAGGTTCGTAAGTGCTTCGTGAATCTGACCCCAGGGTATTAGGAGGAGTCAAACGGGTGTGTAATACTGCTAAATATGTATTGAAGATGTGCTGACATGTGTGAGTCAGGCCAGGCTTCCTCAAACAGGTCAACGACACATAACATCCCAATTGACCTGTAACAACCCAATTCATAAACTTTTCGGCTTCCTGTTTTGTTTTGTTTTGTTTTTATTAACATTTTTAGGCCTTAATGTTTGACTTGGCTTCGAGTGGTACGATTAGTGATATTTGAGTGCCGTGTTAATAGATACCTTGTTAACCTGCGAATTGTACTAACGACATTTAGGTGCCATTAGAGGCCGAGCCATAGTTGTGTAGCTCTGGTGATGGGTTGTGACCGGGCGGTTGTGTCCAGGACCTGTCTCTACCACAACCACTGTCCACCACCACACCGTTACACAAATATGACAGGAAAAGCCTCGATAAAAGCTTAACGTGTACGTATACACTCTGGCTTCCTGTCCCCCGAAACAATAAATTATTATTATTATTAAAAACAAGAGAGAACTGTGGTTTAGTTTAGTTCATTTATTATGCACCCCATACCCAATATGTGGGCGGTAGTGGAAAGGGTTACAGAGGCACATAATGGGCTCAGGGACTGAACGCCACAATTCATTTAGCTAAGCAAGTTACAATCTTGATGAGCTAGTTACAAAATTCACTGCACATCCTCACATCAACAATTGGCTCGTGATCGGCCACAAGTACAGTTTCTAAATTAAGCAACTGACATATTTGGAGAGCTAGTGTCATAATTGATATGTTTGTCCTGCACACCGCCCCCCATCCAGTGGGCAGCGGTGGATAGGTTACAATCACTTAGTTACTACCTACAGTTAGCAAACTGGGGATATTTGGTCAAGACTTCTGGCAGCAGATCATTTTGAATGAAATATTTACACATCTCTTGAACATTTGTTATAAAATTGTCTCTGAATTCACGTATCTTTTCACACTGTAACAAATGTACGGAACAACTTGAAAAACTCCAGGAGGGTATATAAATATATTACTACAATATAAATTGACAAAGGTGATTACACTGGTGAAGATATATAAAGTATACCTCCTGCCCTGTCTTTTTACTACCTGTGTCATCCATTAAGTTTCTTTTTTTTTCTCCTGTTTGGCAAACATTTTTGAGTTCAGTGATACTTTGAAATTTTCCCATACAGCTTCCATGCCATGGACCCCTGTGATCTCCCTCAAGGTGGTGTCGCAGTTCCTTACATGTTCCTTGGTAGTGTCTTTTAGAGGGTAACATATATAAAGTCATCATCGTAACGAACCTTTATGTGGGTTTCTATCATTGCAATCCATCTTATAATATTGTGATCACACTAGGGGTGAGCTTTCCCCCCCCCCTACCTGAATGTGATCCATCATACCCTATTTACCCAATCTATGGTCTCGTGGTTCAAGTCCCCCATTATAAGGCTTCGGGTTTCTGATGCCGCATTGATGACATTATGAACTCCTTGGAAGGAAGGCCTTAGGGTCATGGACCTACCGTATCAGACCTGTAGTGCTCTCACAAGTCTGAAGGGCACTGATCTTAGCACTGACTAGCAACAGCCTAGTGGACGAGCAACAGCCTGGTGGACCAAACTCTCACAAGTCAAGCCTGGCCTCGGGCCGGGCTTGGGGAGTAGAAGAACTCCCAGAACCCCATCAACCAGGTATCAACCAGGAATGACTGCCAAGGGTCAGTCAGTGCCTAACTGTATTGGATGTGCACTAACACCCTATCCAGGAAACACAGCATTCCGGCGTTCTATTAGAGGAGAAAAGAGGGAATATCTTGACCTTCCCCTCACATAACATCCACAGCTTGTAGTTATCAGAGAGTCGCCAGAGTCCCCTCGTTAATATCCTAAGGTCAAGATTATACAAGTAATCGTTCCAATCATGAAGAATACCACACATCTAATCCAACTGATTCAGGGGCGAGAGAATGGTGTAGGTCTCATCATGGGCCAAATCTCTGGTTGTGAATCATTGTTTCTAGGCATATGTTGCACTTGATTTGCGCACGTTACTCATGTATGGAGCAGTAAGAGTAGAGTAAGTTCTGGTTGTGACTGTTCAGTTGTACTTATAGTGAGGGTAAGGAAGCATTGTATATGTGGTCAGTTCTCCTACCACACACCTTGTCTCACAGGCGGTGTGTGTGTGTGTGTGTGTAGGTTACGGGGCGTTGTGAGCCTTGTGAGGTGATGGGGGGAGTGGTTGTGAGCCTTGTGAGGTGATGGGGGAGGGGCTGTGAGCCTTGTGAGGTGATGGGGGAGGGGTTGTGAGCCTTGTGAGGTGATGGGGGAGGGGTTGTGAGCCTTGTGAGGTGATGGGGGAGGGGTTGTGAGCCTTGTGAGATGATGGGGGAGGGGTTGTGAGCCTTGTGAGGTGATGGGGGAGGGGTTGTGAGCCTTGTGAGGTGAAGGTGGGTGTTATGAACTCATCATACGCTATTCAACGTCATTGTTACACAAGTAATTCTTCCCAGGTACTAGTGTGTATATACTTTTTTATTTCCGTTGGATGGCTATATAATACCGCGTTGATGTGTAGCGAGACCACTGGCTGTCTGGCCCTATTGGTGTGGCCAGCGGTGGACACTTTAGCACCATGTGCGGGCCCACACACGCACTACTATACTATGCTATGCAGATACACTTGAAAAACTCATCGCTTTATTGGTGTCTGTAAACTTTCTGGACAGACTCGAAGAAATGGTCGGTTACCTGCCTTAAATTTAATAGAAACGTAATTTGCTTGCGTTATTTAAAAAGTTATATGTAAGTTGGAAGTGAGTTAAGGATGTGTGTGTATGTGTGTGTATATATTACTTAAGTGTAGTTACAGGATGAGAGCTACGCTCGTGGTGTCCCGTCTTCCCAGTACTCTTTGTCGTATAACACTTTGAAACTACTGACGGTTTTGACCTCCACCACCTTCTCACTTGTTCCAACCGTCTACAACTCTGTTTGCGAAAGGGAATTTTCTTATTTCTTCCCCTTCCCCTGGTGTGTGTGTGTGTGTGTGTGTGTGTGTGTGTGTGTGTGTGTGTGTGAGTGACTGACTGACTGACAGAGTCTTCCCTGCTCTCAGACCAAGCCAGTAGCGTTCTCTGTGAGGACCAACGTGGCCTATGATGGCTCTGTGGATGACGACTCCCCTGTGCACGGCTCCGCCATCTCCTTCAACGTCAAGGATTTCCTCCACATTAAGGTAAGATGGCCGCTCGTCTTTTATCCATAGTAAACATACTCTCCATGTCTCTTTTACCCGCGCCTGAGAGGTTAAGACGGTGGTGGTGGTAAGTACAATCATTTACTCCTTATATATATATATATATATATATATATATATATATATATATATATATATATATATATATATATATATATATGACAATGTCAGATCACGGAGGAAAATGAAACAGGAATTTCCTCAAGTTCCTTAAGATTCCTTCTGAAGATGTATTTAATATACGAAAGTACTTAAGGAAATTCCTGTTTCATTTTCCTCCGTGGTCTGACATTGTCACATTCTTAATCACGTGTTTATTTTCGTGATATACACACACACACACACACACATATATATATATATATATATATATATATATATATATATATATATATATATATATATATGCATATATATATATATATATATATATATATATATATATATATATATAAACATCGTTGCAGCATGCTAGCTGTGTGTATCCCAGAGAGTAGTGGTTAAGGGCGCCATGGTGGATGTATACCTGTTATCTTGAGGTTATCTTGAGAAGATTTCAGGACTTGTGCCCACCGCGGCCCGGTCCGTGACCAGACCTCCCTTTTGTTGCACCCCCCCCCCCCCTCAAGAAGTAGCCCGTAGCAGCTGTCTTATTCCCAGGTACCTATTTTCTGCTAGGTGAATAGGAGCATCAGGGTGAAAGAAACTCTGCCCATTTGTTTCCGCCTCCGCCAGGGATCGAACCCGGAACCTTAGGACTACCAATCCCGAGCGCTGTCCACCCACCCGTCATCACATGGATAAAAGGTATAAGAATGGGGATAGTAACAAGGTGTTAACTATTTCCACACAATGAAATTCAAACAATTGATACAAATGGAGCAAGTTTAGAGTGCGAAAATACCTTGGTAAATACTGGTTTGGGAATGTGGCTGTTGATTTATGGAACAGTAAAGTGGGGTTTGGGCAAAATATAACCCATCGCAGTTTTCAGTAATTGGCATATTTTCGGTATAAAAGATCGAAATTTGAAAATTAAAATAGGTGCAGAGAGTCAGAATTCGGCTCAAAAATTATGCTCAGGAGTCAAATTTCCGACATTTTAAATATTTTGAAAACCGCAGGGGGGTTTGGGCAAAATATGACCCATCGGCGTTTTGAGTAATTTTCATATTTTCGGTATAAAAAATCGTAATTTGAAAATGAAAATAGGTGCAGAGAGTCAAAATTCGGCTCAAAAATCACGCTCAGGAGTCAAATTATCGACATTTCTGATATTTTGAAAACTGCAAGGGGATTTGGGGAAAATATGACCCATCGCCGTTTTCAGTTATTTTCATATTTTCGGTATAAAAATTCGTAATTTGAAAATGAAAATAGGTGCAGAGAGTCAGAATTCGGCTCAAAAATCACGCTCAGGAGTCAAATTTCCGACATTTCAGATATTTTGAAAACTGCAGGGGGGTTTGGGCAAAATATGACCCATCGCCGTTTTCAGTAATTGGCATATTTTCGGTATAAAATGTCGTAATTTGAAAATGAAAATAGGTGCAGAGAGTCAGAATTCGGCTCAAAAATCACGCTCAGGAGTCAAATTTCCGACGTTTTAGATATTTTGAAAACTGCAGGGGGGTTTGGGCAAAATATGACCCATCGCCGTTTTAAGTAACTGGCATATTTTAGGTATAAAAAGTCGTAATTTGAAAATGAAAATAGGTGCAGAGAGTCAGAATTCGGCTTAAAAATCACGCCCAGGAGTCAAATTTCCGACATTTTAGATATTTTGAAAAATACAGGGGGGGTTTGGGCAAAATATGACCCATCGCCGTTTTCAGTAATTGGCATATTTTCAGTATAAAAATTCATAGTTTGAAAATGAAAATAGGTGCAGAGAGTCAGAATTCGGCTCAAAAATCACGCTCAGGAGTCAAATTATCGACATTTCTGATATTTTGAAAACTGCAGGGGGATTTGGGCAAAATATGACCCATCACCGTTTTCCGTAATTGGCATATTTTCGGTATAAAAAGTCGTAATTTGAAAATGAAAATAGGTGCAGAGAGTCAGAATTCGGCTCAAAAATCACGCTCAGGAGTCAAATTTCCGACATTTCTGATATTTTGAAAACTGCAGGGGGGTTTGTGCCAAATATGACTCGTGGCCTTTTTTCGTAATTGGCATATTTTCGGTATAAAAAGTCGTAATATGAAAATGAAAATATTTGCAGAGAGTCAGAATTCGGCTTAAAAATCACGCCCAGGAGTCAAATTTTCGACATTTAAAATATTTAGAAAACTGCAGGGGGGTTTGGGCAAAATATGACTTATCGTCGTTTTCAGTAATTTTCATATTTTCGGTATAAAAATTCGTAATTTAAAAATGAAAATAGGTGCAGAGAGTCAGAATTCGGCTTAAAAATCACGCTCAGGAGTCAAATTTCCGACATTTCAGATATTTTGAAAACTGCAGGGGTGTTTGGGCAAAATATGACCTATCGCCGTTTTCAGTAATTGGCATATTTTCGGTATAAAAAGTCGTAATTTGAAAATGAAAATAGGTGCAGAGAGTCAGAATTCGGCTTAAAAATCACGCTCAGGAGTCAAATTTCCGACATTTCTGATATTTTGAAAACTGCAGGAGGGGTTTCGGCAAAATATGACCAATCGCCGTTTTCAGTAATTGGCATATTTTCGGTATAAAAAGTCGTAATTTGAAAATGAAAATAGGTGCAGAGAGTCAGAATTCGGCTTAAAAATCACGCTCAGGAGTCAAATTTCCGACATTTCTGATATTTTGAAAACTGCAGGAGGGGTTTCGGCAAAATATGACCAATCGCCGTTTTCAGTAATTGGCATATTTTCGGTATAAAAAGTCGTAATTTGAAAATAAAAATAGGTGCAGAGAGTCAGAATTCGGCTCAAAAATCACGCTCAGGAGTCAAATTTCCGACATTTTAGATATTTTGAAAACTGCAGGGGGGTTTGGGCAAAATATGACCTATCGCCGTTTTCAGTAATTGGCATATTTTCGGTATTAAAGGTCGTAATTTGAAAATGAAAATAGGTGCAGAGAGTCGGTATTCGGCTCAAAAATCACGCTCAGGAGTCAAATTTCCGACATTTAAGATATTTTGAAAACTGCAGGGGGGTTTGGGCAAAATATGACCCATCGCCGTTTTGAGTAATTGGCATATTTTCAGTATAAAAATTCATAGTTTGAAAATGAAAATAGGTGCAGAGAGTCAGTATTCGGCTCAAAAATCACGCTCAGGAGTCAAATTTCCGACATTTCTGATATTTTGAAAACTGCAGGGGGGTTTGGGCAAAATATGACCCATCGCCGTTTTCAGTAATTGGCATATTTTCAGTATAAAAATTCATAGTTTGAAAATGAAAATACGTGCAGAGAGTCAGAATTCGGCTCAAAAATCACGCTCAGGAGTCAAATTTTTGACATTTCAGATATTTTGAAAACTGCAGGGGGGTTTAGGCAAAATATGACCCATCGCTGTTTTCAGTAATTAGCATATTTTCGGTATAAAAAGTCGTAATTTGAAAATGAAAATAGGTGCAGAGAGTCAGAATTCGGCTCAAAAATCACGCTCAGGAGTCAAATTTCCGACAATTTAGATATTTTGAAAACTGCAGGGGGGTTTGGGCAAAATATGACCCATCGCCGTTTTCAGTAATTGGCATATTTTCGGTAAAAAAAGTCGTAATTTGAAAATGAAAATAGGTGCATAGAGTCAGAATTCGGCTCAAAAATCACGCTCAGGAGTCAAATTTCCGACATTTCAGATATTTTGAAAGCTGCAGGGGGGTTTGGGTTAAATATGACCCAATTACGGAAAACGGCGATGGGTCATATTTTGCCCAAACCCCCCTGCAGTTTTCAAAATATCTGAAATGTCGAAAATTTGACTCCTGAGCGTGATTTTTGAGCCGAATTCTGACTCTCTGCACCTATTTTCATTTTCAAATTACGACTTTTTATACCGAAAATATGCCAATTACTGAAAACGGCGATGGGTCATATTTTGCCCAAACCCCCCTGCAGTTTTCAAAATATCTAAAATGTCGGAAATTTGACTCCTGGACGTGATTTTTGAGCCGAATTCTGACTCTCTGCACCTATTTTCATTTTCAAATTACGACTTTTTATACCGAAAATATGCCAATTAGTGAAAACGGCGATGGGTCATATTTTGCCCAAACCCCCCTGCAGTTTTCAAAATATCTAAATTGTCGGAAATTTGACTCCTGAGCGTGATTTTTGAGCCGAATTCTGACTCTCTGCACCTATTTTCATTTTCAAATTACGACTTTTTATACCCAAAATATGACAATTACTGAAAACGGCGATGGGTCATATTTTGCCCAAACCCCCCTGCAGTTTTCAAAATATCTGAAATGTCGAAAATTTGACTCCTGAGCGTGATTTTTGAGCCGAATTCTGACTCTCTTCGCCTATTTTCATTTTCAAACTATGAATTTTTATACTGAAAATATGCCAATTACTGAAAACGGCGATGGGTCATATTTTGCCCAAACCCCCCCTGCAGTTTTCAAAATATCTGAAATGTCGGGAATTTGACTCCTGTGCGTGATTTTTGAGCCGAATTCTGACTCTCTGCACCTATTTTCATTTTCAAATTACGACTTTTTATACCGAAAATATGCCAATTACTGAAAACGGTGATAGCTATGCTCTCCTGCCTCACTATACAGTATGCCCTGCCTCACAATACAGTATGCCCCACCCTTGCATCACCATACAGTATTCTCTCCTGCCTCATATTCAGTATGCCCTCCTGCCTCACCATACAATATACCCAGCCTCACCATACAGTATACCCTGCCTCACCATACAGTATACCCTGCCTCACCATACAGTATACCCTGCCTCACCATACAGTATACCCTGCCTCACCATACAGTATGCCCTGCCTCACCATACAGTATACCCTGCCTCACCATACAGTATGCCCTGCCTCACCATACAGTATGCCCTGCCTCACCATACAGTATACCCTGCCTCACCATACAGTATGCCCTGCCTCACCATACAGTATGCCCTGCCTCACCATACAGTATGCCCTGCCTCACCATACAGTATACCCTGCCTCACCATACAGTATACCCTGCCTCACTATACAGTATACCCTGCCTCACCATACAGTATGCCCTGCCTCACCATACAGTATACCCTGCCTCACCATACAGTATACCCTGCCTCACCATACAGTATGCCCTGCCTCACCATACAGTATGCCCTGCCTCACCATACAGTATGCCCTGCCTCACCATACAGTATACCCTGCCTCACCATACAGTATACCCTGCCTCACCATACAGTATGCCCTCCTGTCTCACTATACAATATGCCGTCCCCACAGGAGAAGTACGACAACAACTGGTGGATTGGGCGCCTGGTGAAGGAAGGCTCAGACGTGGGGTTCATCCCGTCTCCAGTTAAACTTGAAAACCTTCGGCTACAACAGTCGCAGCAGAAGACCTCCAAGCTGTATTCCTCCAAAACTTCTTCCTCGGGTAACCTGGGCATGATCAATGATGTTCTGTCAAATAGCAAGAGTTCCAACTCCCGCGGCTCAACTCCCCCTACCCCTGGTAAGTCTTCATCAACACCCTTTATAGTGTACCTTTATGTGTATTCTTGGTGTGTGTGTGTGTGTGTGTGTGTGTGTGTGTGTGTGTGTGTGTGTGTGTGTGTGTGTGTGTGTGTGTGTGTGTGTGTGTGTAATTACCTAAGTGTAATTACCTAAGATGTGTGTGTGTGTGTAATTACCTAAGTGTAATTACCTAAGTATAGTTACAGGATGTGTGTTTGTGCATGCATGCGCGCACATGCATTTGCCTATTTGCATTTGTATGTGGGTAATTTTTTTTTATTTTAATGTGTGATGGTGTAGTGATGAGGGCGGGAGAAACGCAAATGAGTCTCACAATGCTTTCTAGGCCATACCTTCAGGGTATCATGGGTGTGTTTTTACACACACACACACACACACACACACACACACACACACACACACACACACACACACACAATAGAACGAGGTGAGGTCACTGTGCTAAAACAGGTGGTAGTAAACCAGGCGGCCTTGGAAGGTTTCGAAATTACAAGAGATGAGGTCAAGAGGCATCTGTTGGATCTGGACGTGAGAACAGCTGTTGGTCAGGACGGAATCTCACCATGGGTATTGAAAGAGTGTGCAGAAGCACTTTGCTTGCCACTCTCCATAGTGTATAGTAGGTTATTGGAGACGGGAGACCTACCACAAATATGGAAGACGGCTAATGTAGTCCCAATATACAAAATGAGTGACAGACAAGAGGCACTGAACGACAGGCCAGTGTCCTTAACGTGTATACCATGCAGGTGATGGAGAAGATCATTAGAAAAAACCTAGTAACACATCTGGAGAGAAGAGACTTCGTGACAACCCATCAACATGAGAGGGTAAATCTTGCCTTGCAGGCTTAATAGAATTCTACGATCAGGTGACAAAGATTAAGCAAGAAAGAGGAGGATGGGCGGACTGCATTTTCTTGGACTGTCAGAAAGCCTTTGACACAGTACCCCATAAGAGGCTGATGCATAAGCTGGAGAAACAGGTAGGAGTAACTGGTAGGGTACTCCAGTGGATAAAGGAGTACCTAAGCAATAGGAAACTGAGAGTTACAGTGAGGGGTGAGACCTCAGATTGACGTGAAGTCACCAGTGGAGTCCCACAGGGCTCTGTACTCAGACCTATCCTGTTTCTGATATACGTAATTAATCTCCCAGAGGGTATAGACTCATTCCTCTCAATGTTTGCTGATGATGCCAAAATTATGAGAAGGGTTAAGACAGAGGAGGACAGCTTGAGTCTTCAAGAAGACCTGGATAAGCTGAAGGAATGGTCGAACAAATGGGTGTTAGAGTTTAACCCAAGCAAATGTAATGTAATGAAGATAGGTGTAGGGAGCAGGAGACGAGATACAAGGTATCATTTGGGAGATGAAATACTTCAAGAGTTAGAGAGAGAGAGAGACCTGGAGGTTGATATCACACCAGACCTGCCTCCCTGAAGCCCATATCAAGAGAATATCATCAGCGGCATATGCCAGGTTGGCCAACATAAGAACACCCTTTAGAAACTTGTATTCGGAATCATTCAGAACTTTGTATACCACATAAGTCAGACAAATCCTGGAATATGCATCTCCAGCATGGAGTTCATATCTAGTCAAGCACAAGACTAAACTGGAAAAGGTTCAAAGATTTGCCACCAGACTAGTACCTAAACTGAGGGGTATGAGCTACGAGGAGAGACTACAGGAACACTACAGACTACAGGATTACCCTTCTGACTCCCAGTGAAGTGCACACATGCACGTATGTGTGGTTATTCCATATACCTGTATATGGAATAACCGAATTCATTGTAATGAATGTGCCATAATGTGCAACATTATGGAGTGTGGAATTGGAGAGAATAGGCTGCACACAACCTGCAAATCATGTGAAATGTTAAAGAACTCTGCCAAATAGAAATCTAGGTATGGTTTTGCATAGTAACCTAACCCCAGAGGACACCACATAGGGCATTGTGCAACGAGCCTATACCACTCTCTCAAACTTCAGAATTGCTTTTAGATACATGGATGATGAAATGCTAACGCTGTTCACAACAGTTGAGACCAGAAGTGGAATATGTAGCAGCAGCAGTAGTATGATGCTCGTATCTCAAGAAGCACATTAATAAACTGAAACAAGATGCAAAGACTTCCTGCTAAATGGCTTCCAAAATATAAAAAGAAGATCTATGTGGAGAGACTGTTAAATATGCAAAAGCTTGAAAATAGAATGAAAGAGATGATATGAACACAAGGAGGTATTTTTTAAACCAATGGCCTCAAGAACCAGGCCATAGACTCAATCTAAGGTAGCAAAGGTGCTGAAAAAATATATAAAAATTATCTTTGGCAAACAGAGTTGTAGAGAGTTGGAACAACATAAGCAAGGAGGAGGTAGATGCCAAAACCGTCGTTAATTTGAGCATCATATAATGAAGATTATTGGGAAGGTGAGACGCCGGGAGCATAGCTCTCGTCATGTAACTACACTTGGGTAAATACACACACTTTATCACTTGCACTGACAGACAGTTCACATTGCTGCACATGCTTTCACACGAAACAATGCACTTAGAAAGGATAACAATAATAATAATAGCATTTTTTTACACACCCAAGTTAGACAGGGACACGTGATTCTTCCCAGGGACAAGCAATTCTTTCCAGGGACACACGATTCTTCCCAGAGACACACAAACCATGAGTGCACCCAAAAGGAAATCAAATAGAGCTGTGATGGGAGTACCTCTGAATTCCCAGCATTCTCATCTTTGCTAAACCCCCCGCATGCAAGTGATTGTAAACTCTGGGAGTGGATTGTGAGACTAGTCAGATGCTGGTATACCCAGGGATGTAATTGTGAATTCAATCTTATGATTGTGAAGTAAGCTAGAGTATTGCAAATCCAGGCATGTGATTATATGCCTAGGTACTATAGATTATTTTTAAACTGTATATATGTAAACTGCAGACAAATGATTGTGAACTTATGCAGGTGTGTGAACTTGGGTGTTTATTTACTTAAGTGATTAATTCCTGATGAATGACTGTTAACCCATACTGATTGTCAGCTTAGGAATAACAATGAACCCAGATAATTAATTGAGAACACAGATTTAACCTGATCAGATGATTGTGAATCCAGTCATCCAATTTTAAAATTAGAGTACAGGTATTACAGTGGGCAAATTACTGCCAACCCAGAACGATTGTTATGAATCCAGACAGGCAATTTTGAATCCAGAAGGTTTATTGCAAACCCAGCCTTATGAACTTAGGCAGATAATTGTGATCCTGGATTGACTCAAATTAATATATATCTGTTCTCAAATAGGTACATCGTAATATATATAGACATATCTATTTCCTGTATTTTGTAAGCTGCTCTAAGGAAAGGATGTTTGACTTCAAAATGAGTCCAGTTAAAGATATTGTATATCTATACTTCGAATACACAGAATATATATATCTAGTTTCAGATTGATGTACAGTGTACATTACAGTCGCAGCTGTGTGGGTGAACACGATTGCCACAGATGTGTTTTATCACTGGTGTATGCTTAAAGTCCTTTCAGGTGTATCTGAGATGTCGATGTATACAAAATTAGTCGATTCGACTGCAAGAAATGATGTATTGAGCTAGGTATATACTATTGCTAAATTTTGGTGTATGGGGGTTTGGGTGGGAGTGTTTGTGTGTCCATTTGTTTGTGTTCTGACACAACCCATACAGTACTGCAGCTGTCCTTAAATGTGCATACCTAAATATGTCAACACTGTGTAAACTAAAACAGTTTTTTCTCAAATATAGTTTGCCCTTGGTTATGTTAGGAATATTAGTTCTGTTTAGTAGTTATTTGTATTTGCAATATGTGAGTGAAGCATTTTAGAAAGGTGCACTCAATCTGTTCTTATCAACAACAAATTTCAATATAATCAGATGAGTCATGCATAAAGTGTATTTCGTTCAAAGGGAATATTAATGGACAGTTGTTGGATTAACAAGCATTTAGCCAGTGTTTTGAAGATGAGTTATTCGATGATGAATTTGAGTTCATTGAGCTGTGCTTGAACTTGAGTACTATACCAGGCATAAAGTAACGTATCAGATCCCTGAATAATATGTTCAGAACTAATGTGTATGGGTTAAAAATATTTCTTGTCCAGAGACAAATATATTTTAATTTAGACTGCTAACAACCTTGGCAAATAAGTTTGAAACCTACAATCTTCCCTCAAAACATTTGCCACAAGTTCTACAGTCTAGCAGTTGTCCTGTTTATGAGTGAAAAGTCTACACATGACACAGTTACGTTCAAACTTTTCTCAAAGTACTACATTTATTTCTTCCTATGTTCAAAGTGTACTTCTCTAAATATTTCACCACATTAAACAAATAATTGTCAACAGAAAAAAAATCAACCTAACCTAGGCTTAACTATACACTAAACGGTTATGTAAATAACATTAATATATATCTGAAAATGACATTTTTGTTACAGTATTACACTATACAAGAAAGAAAATTGATGCAAATTCATTTAGGGAAGTTCACAGCTTTAATACGTATTTAAGGATGGTTTGAAAACTAATATATATTTACCTTGTATATTCAATTGAAGCAAAGCATATATATATTTAATTCATGATAGATTGATCTAACTTCAGATAGAGGTGCATAAATCCAGTTATTTCCTTTTTTGGTTTTAACTCTGGGCACATGACCGTGATGTTAAGAAGTGTGCCATGATCTGTGTAAGTGCTTTGTAACGCAGGGAAAAATCTTCTCTACTGGGGCAGTTACAGATTAAGATTTTGCATATATTTAAACTCCAATTATACATATACATGTTTCCTACCATGTGCAGTTTGGCCTGAGTATGTCAAGAGTCTTCTAAGGTAACATTTAATTCTTGAAGAAATTTAATTTAATTCAGAACCTATAATTTACAAGTCCATGACATTAATAAGAGCACCTAAGTTTGTAT